AACTTTCCTTTGAGTACAAAATTGCAAGAAGAGATTATTTTCTTCCGAATGAAGAGGAGGATAAATATCAGTAAGCATGTTTTCAACGAAATCTTATGGAACTTTTAACGGTCTCAAAAATCAATGTGACTAATGCATGCTACTTAAATAATCCTTTTTGCAGAGTATGATTTTTGCATGCAGTCGGAATAAAGTTCTTTCTAGGTTCCGCATCCTGTCGTAACTGAAGTTTTATAAAATTATAATGCACGATAATTAGTTCTACGACACTACTTAATTCATCTTTTATAAACCAGAGCGCATTTAGCAATTTCGGTTGACATTTCATGAGTTAGCTCACCTACTGTAGAGTGTACAAAATATTTCAGAGTGTGTAGACCACGGAAAAAGAGACATTTTGTAATCTATGTCAGATGCTGCCTTCGGGCTTTAGGAAAGAATTTATTCGTAGTCCAATGAATTACTAATTTGTCAAGTTCGTGCAACGTAACAATTCATTGCTAGTTTTGTGCGTTGACTGCCTTCCTGTGCTCCGAAAACGCAAGCTTACCCAAACAAGAGAGCAGTTAATGTTCACGTTAGTATCTGAATTTCTAAAAAAAGTCAATATATCTACGCAAAACGTTATTAATTTTGATATTGTTACGTATTTATGTCTCAAGTTGTTTATATATATGCTATCTTTAGTAAATTTTGGCATCTTTTATGTCGTAGGTCACATACTTCAAAACCGTTTATTGTTAATAGGGGGCTTTGGTTGATGCATCTGGGCCAGTTTTAGAGCGCTGTTTTATGTTTCATAAATTTGGGCACCTACTAAGTACCGAAGCACGCGTAGTTCTGCTCCTGCGCGTCAAAAATATCTGTCTTATCTGTCCAGCATACGCCATAATGTACTTCTTCCCTATATGATAATCGACCATGAGGTTGGGTAGAAAGTTCTACAGCAGGAAGGGCACCTGTTAATATGTGCACATAACGACAGTAACCAAAGAGTTGAATTAACGCGTAGTCCCTGTATGTACATATCGGCTGTTTTTGACATGTTATAAATTCCGAGAAATCGTTCGCTTAGCCCATCAGAATGACCCCTGTGAAAATTGGTATCACTACTGCCACAAACACGTACGACATTTTTTTCAGGAGACATTTGCGTAATCTACAAAAATCACATTTGAGGTGCACAATGCAACTCGTCAGAAGAATCGCTTGTCTTACGTGCGCATGACATTTTTCATCTGCCGCATACTGGCATGGATGCAGCTCTTTAACGGTATCTCCTCGAGGCGAATCAGCTCTGTGCTAACGAGGGGGCGGTGGAGGGCGTGCATCACAGTGCTGAGCATGGCAGCTGAACTCAGTTAGCGCAATCAATCGAAGTCGGGGCATCTACATTTTTACGTTAGCGTCGTGTAGTTTCCGAGCGCGTGGGACACAATCAAGGCATAACTCTTGTTTCTAGGGGGTAAGCTGTTAGCAACGCTTGCATTGCAGCGCTTTCTCAACAAGCATGAACTGGATTGGATGGAAAAAGCAGCCTAGGCGTCATTAATGCGTTTTGTGTGTGCCTAATTAAGGAAAGATAATCAATATCTACTCGGATGCTAGAGACATACTCCTGCTATAATACGCGATGGGAAAACAATCCGGGCATTTAGGAAGGTCAAAATGGACTTTTTCTTTCGACGAACACTGCATGAGATGAGCGAACCTCTGGATGAGGGGCTAGTTGACAGCACCGCTGTGTAAACGTTCATTCCCAGTTTCTATCCGGTTAGATTTTAATTTGTAGCCGCCCCTGTTAGGGGTTAGTTTTGGTGGTATAGTTTAAGGATTGTGATAAGGGTTAGGGGTTAGAATTGCGGTTCGGTTGAGCAGTTAGGACAAGAAGTTAGGGTTAGGAGTAAGTGGTTAAGTTTAGGGCTTATTTTATCGCCGGTCTCGTATGACAGGCGGCTGGTGTTTGTTTACTGCAGGTTCGGCTACGAAATATGATCCGACCTTCTATCATTATATTGAAGTGCTAAACGTCATTCAAAAGTAAAAAAACGCTGGAGCTCATGTGATGCCGAGACCAGCTAGTGAATGCTTGCACCACGCCTATACCAAAACCAACACACAGGAGCTAAAGTCCAAGGAAGAATCAGATTTTACTCCGCTGTAATGAATGCCTCTCTATACCTTAAGAAACGGTTTACAAAGTACTGCGCGACTCGCCATAACCGCAGCACGGGTATTGGTTAGAATTAAAAAAAACTCTGTTTCGTTCATTCTTATGCCAATGCAGCCGCTAGGGTTTCCGCTAACGAGTACATCCCTAGACGCCCAAGACGAGCTTTGTGGCATAAACTTTAGTCTTCAAGTTTTATCTTTTGTTTAAGAGCTGGGTCAGTTGAGGTAATGTTGTCCTACGTGAAGTAAAATAACTTTAGTTACCTCTAATACAAGACAAGTGGTAATAGGGGTTTTTCACAGGTGGGACTGTGGAACGCACGGGCGACGAGGTCAAGTAATTGGATGCAAAATAAAAGCTATTAGGAACGCGCGGTTGAAATTTGAGTGGTTGAGAAATAGTCACGCTAAACCCGAAGCCTAACCGTAACTTTAAACCCAACCCCAACCCTGGCGTCCAACCCTGACCCTAACCGCAAATCATAACCCCTAGCCGTAACCCTAACCCCCTAGCGCCAACACCTTACCGTTACCCTTAATCCTAACCCTAAACCCAAGAGTAATGTGTCCATCTTGTTGGGAAACACGACCATATTTTGCCAAGAGCTGTAACGATTTACTATGCTGCCTTTTTTAAGAACAGGAATTTTTTATATTTTCCAAAACATGCCGATAGACGAGAAAATGCAAATTCCGAAAAACCACAAGGACGAGGTTCCTATGCACAAGATATTTGAAATCTAGTCCTTAATCCCTATTAGTTGATGCTAGGGCTTTACAAAGGTAATTTAGTGCTTCTAGCATGCGGCTGCCATGACACTAGATTTATCAAAAGGACGACATTTGCAGTCGCTGCAGTTCTTTCCCGTGCGATATTTGATCATAATCCGCAGCCGATTCGTTTTTTATCGAAAATTTCATTGTTGTTGTCGGCCAGTGGGAGATCACTGCCCGGCAGTTTTCCCACCAATACTGGCTTTGGTAATACTGTTCGTCTGCGCGGTTTAAATTTGTGTAATAACCCCACTGAAGATGGTCGGAGACAGGTTTGCGCTGCATACGCTGCCGCAGAGCCTTGACTCAGGCAGTTTTGCGTCACACACGGTTGTCATGTTTGCGAGATTTTCGGTTCCTTCGATTTTGAGGGTGTGACTGTGTACTACGGTTTGACCTGTGATTTGAAAGCCACTGTGCTCGGAAGTAAGTGCACACCTTTATGTTCAACGGCTTAATTCAATAAAAATTAACGGCAGATAGCAAAAATGTAAATGTTTTTTTTTAAATCCCAGCGCCGTCCACATTTCCCCCCTCTCTCTTCATAGTCTACTCCCTGTCGTTTATACCCTTGTTAAAAAAGTAGGAGATTGGCGATCTCGTACACATTAGTTGTTGACTTCGTGATAGTTCACAAAACGATTTATATATTTTCGTTATCGACGCGAAAACAACCTTTCCTACAATCACAAATTCGTTGAAAAAATACCTTTGACCTGTTCACCACATACCGGTAAATGTTCCACTTGTTCACTTGAACTCTCCGTGGGCTGGGCACTGGATTAGCTAGGTAAATCAAAGATTTGATTGCCCCATGGCAAAATGTACACAAGCCCGCGATTACTGATGTACATCTGTTCAGTGACACGTCCTTTACGTGGGATTTCGCGCTCTTGAAGCCATCAATAGAATTTCAACAGGCTCTGGCGGCCAAATTGTGTATAGTGAAGCTGTCACTGGGGAGAATATGTACACCGAAAACCTGGCATTTCTTGATATAATAAAACCGATCGAACTTCAACTAATCCCGGGCGCTTGTAAGATTGCTATTTGACGGGCTTACTGAGTCGTTCAAAGGACCGGAACACAGTGTGCAGTGACTCCTTAATGATGTGGTCTTCGCAGCGCTTCCGCGGATTTGGACTCCGGGGAGCCGTCAAGGAGGCCAGGTTTATACGAGGGATCGGTTTGTGTGTGGTACGCGTGGACGGGTTCGTTGGCTTTGTCATTCACTTGGGACTACCCCAACATGAGTGCAGTATATCCTCCGCAAGTATGTCTTACTATGAACTAATTGGGCAGCAAGTCATCGACTCTGCACTTTCTCGTAGGATACACTATTTATGTCTATCATGAGGGTAGATTTGTCATACTTCATTGCCTATCTATTTAGTTTGACGCCGTGGGGACTTTCGGTGAACATTGAGCACGCATGACAATAATTTTGCAAACTTTTCTAAACTCTGATGTTTATCGTATAAAACCATACAACTGCTTCGTTACAAACTATGCAGTTATGGACAGAAGGAAACCGATTCCCATAACGGACCATCTGGTACGGAGTGGCGAATTATGCTGCGAGACTGAAAAGTCACTAAACCAATATATTCTACGTTGGATCCGCAATCGGGCCTACCGAAGCAAAAACATTTTATTTACTCCTCTATCTGCCAGACATTTTGTTATCCATAAAGATTTCCAGGTTGCGGCCCAGTAGTAACAGCATTGCCTTTTATTGACTTTTCAATCACTGGGATATTTTACTGTACCCCGTCTCCATTTAACTGCCCGCAAACTCGTTTTCAGAATATTTTATCCATTAAGATGTTCCGACTGCGGCCCAGTAGGACGAGCATAGATTCTTTTTTTTAAAGGTGAAGATTTGACGAAAATAATAACACCTGACCTGCGCTTTTGTGGCTTTATTCAAAACACGGAGGCTGTTGGCAGTCGCCAGATTAGGAGTCTTGAAATATACTTCAAAATAGTCCGTACTGGATATCTGAAAGTGGAGAGTCTCTGTCCGAAAACATGCATTCTGTCAAACAAGGGCATTATTCGTATGCCGCTTTTTTGATTTCTTCTGCTGCCGGAGCAGAGGGTGCGGTCGGATAAGCAGGGTTTTGTTGAATGTTCACGACCTGTTCGTAAGACGGCGGTTGTTGGGGGTAAGGCAACGGAGGTGCGGCGGAAGGGGGATTTTGAGGTTGGGGCGGGTACTGCGGTTGAGGTTGGTACTGCGGTTGAGGCGGGTACGGAGGTTGAGGCGGCTGTGTTGGCTAAAGTTATGCGTAAATAGGCGTATCTTATGATTAAAAAAATGTTGTCCTAGTAATCGCATCTTCCTGTTCTAGACAATGATCTAACTAAGGTAACGCCGGATCATTTATTGAGTTGATGGAATGGCACATATTTTGTTGTTTATTTTTGTTTGTTAGAATTGATTTAATTTCTTTAAACCCTTTTCTAAAGAAGATGTCATGCGGATTCAGTTTTATTGGGCAAAACTGACCAAAACTAGGAAAGTTTTGACGTCTCCAGATATGCGCTTATTTTCTTATTCTAATACGAATTTCCTATTAAAACCTCTTATTTGCACGCATTGCGTTATAAGAAAAATTTAATATTACAAGAAAAACATCAAAGCGGGGAACTCCGGAAATGAAAATTTTAATTTTTAGCTCACAAAAATCAACTCAAGTATGTAAAAACACATTATTCCCATAAACCAAGAAATCATGTTCTCATCCTAAATTATATTTAACAAAACGGTAACGCTTCATATCGTTAACGCAGACATAAGCTTGTTCGACTGTCTTTGTTTGACTGCACCGGGAACTAGTAGGCGTAAACACGTATATGTAGATTGAGCGTCACATGCTGCCAATTTCCTTTGCTACGCCTTGCAGCAAAGATATCATAACAGCTCCCATCGAAATTTGACTTTGAGCGGATACGAAAATTCGCAGCCGAATGGCTGCCGTGTCAGTGGTTAGCTAGTGTTTTCGATATTAGCCAAGTCGATCTCTAGACAATTATGAATGATAAAACAGTGCTTATTACTAAGCAAGGTGAGCCAAAACGGTTCACAAGCAAGCATGACGACGATTTCTTTAGTCGGACACTGAAAAATTATTATTAGGTGCCTGTTAAGGCTGTTTACAGAGAACATCTCTGAATGTTTTCTTTGCGCACAATAAGAAAAAGAATGAAAGAGTTTGGTGTTCATCACCAATACGCTATGACAAAGCCACTTTAAACTAGAAAACGTATTGGAGAACGTTTTTTGCTTGCTCAAAAATATGTTGATCGAAGACTTTCCTTGGTGAAAATCGTTTGCATTCGCTATGAGGTCCTATTTCTAGACAAACCTCAGAGGTCAGCCCAGGTGGTCATATGTGGGAAGAAACTCCCACGTGAGGAAACTACGCCGACACAAACTTTGAAGAACTGTCGACGCCTGATGGTTTGGATGCCGATAAAATTCGTGGAGCGACACGTTTGGCGTTAAACAGCGGATACGATAAATAGCAAGGTGTTCATCGACATCCTAAAGGATGCCATCGTTTACAACGGCATTTAAAATCGTCAAATGGACACTAATTTTGCAGGATAAACCTCCTTTCCATAGTTCAAAGAAGGTATGATTCCAATTAAACGAACGACTATAGTCTGATATTTTAGATCCCAATCAGTCCCTCCGCCTGCGACCTTCAAAGCATTTTTATTCCGGCCAACAGCACTGGCCTTAATTGCATCAAAAAGCTTGCATTCATCAAAAAAAGACAAAGCGTTTAGACATCTTCCTATAAAGCAGAAGTTGAAAATTTAGCTAAACAATTATAGACCAAACCACCTTAGGCAACTTGGTAGTCTCCATGTCCTCGAGCTTTGCGGAAACTTTGAAAGCTAAATGACAATCGAAGAAGTACTAATACGTTGAACATTTTACTATCTTCCATCGATATTTTCGTTTTGCGACGTTTCTATTCCCCGCTGGCAGTTATATTAGGCCTTGACTAGTTGACACGTCATGGAGTCGTTTTAATACCCTGGTAATTTTTCGTAAAATAATTATTTTTAAGTCAACAAATAATAAGTGAACTGTGTCTTATTTTGAAGCTCCGTCGTATTTTTAGCGTGGTATAACCTCCTTTTTTTGCTGGGTGTGCGTTTCGAGCGCCACAACAATTTAACTTCACAGATTGCGATCTTTCATCAGATGGGTCAAGTACTGCATCTCACCTGCTGAGTAAATGAACGTTTGCTCCTTTTCAAGTGGATTATTATAGATCTTATAAAAATCGACTAAATGGGAATTTTCGTGCATACATTACCTCAAACTGATAAGGCGACTAGCGCTTACACAAATGCAAGCCTTTTCCTGAAAGTAATGCGCAGGGAGAGTTGTTTCACACAGTATTTCTGGCAAGTCAAAAGCCAAATTTTCCTAGAAAATTTAAGTTGAAGGATTTTGCTACGTTAAAATTCAGTTAATTTAAATGTTCACGTTAGTGAACCACATCCCACAAGTGTGTCCTTAAATATAATTTTGGATTTTGTGGACCTTTTTTGAGCATCATATTAAAGGCCTACGGAACGTCTCATTATGGACAAAACCAAACACAGGCTTATCGATGGCATCAATAATTCCATTTTAGGTACAAACATTTTCCAGCCTTGTCGAAATGCTAACATCTGCTCAATGTCTTTCACTCAATGTAAGGCCTTATTGAAAAGGGCGGATGTTATAAACTGTGACTGGTACCGGCCCGTACAATGTGTTCCCGTGAGTGAAAGCGGCATGTGTATTGGCCTGTTAAATTACGTTTGGTGGGGTATCTGACGAAACGATGTAAATTCTTTTTCCCACGCAAACGATATATGTTTCGGATACTAATACCACTTGCTAATCGTCTGACAAGATTTATAAAACTTACAAGTGTCGGACATGCAGTAGGTGGGCTAACTCATAAAATGCCGGTCGAAATTTCGAAATGCGTTCTCGTTTCGAAAACATTAAATATATAGGGTTGTACAACTGTTCACCATGTAGTATAATTCTTTATTAATCCGGTCACCTCAGAGTGCCCGCTTTAGAATAGAGTCCTTGACGGTTGCATGCAAGAACCATCCTCTGCAAACAATGACAACTTCAGTAGCATGACTTTTTCTCATTGATATCCGATGCCCTTAAACATTCAATTATATGCCATGGAAAGCATGCATAAAGTATTCATTCTTTTGCTCATTCGGTAGACAATTAACTTCAGTTTCAATTTACTACTCCAGAAAAGAGCATAATGTGGCATTTAAAAACTTTAAATTCCCGAATAATTTTGAACACAACCTGCCGTTACACATTCATTAACGGTTTCCAAACTACAAATCGTAAGTTTTCCGCGTACGACAAACTATACATTTCTCCACGTTATTAAGAGAAGACCATATGGGCTTACAGAATTCAGCAGTGGATTGAAGGCTTGTTGTTAACTTTAAAAACTACATTGGTAAATGAAGAGACATGACGTTCTATGAACGGCCATATCAGGGCTTTAAGAAGTCTTGCAATTAAAACATTTCCCAAAGCCGAATCATGCCCTTCTTTTGAGTACGACATTGAACGAAAACGTCAGTTTTAATCAAATGAGCAGGACAGTAAATATCCGTCTACATGTTTTCCATAACATATAAATGATTTTTTAAGGGCATCGAAAATCAATAAGAAAAATGCATGCTACTTAAGTAGTCGTTCTTTGCAGAGAATGAATCTGCTTGCGGCCTGACGTAAGTTCTTTCGGAAGCTGGCACCATTGGGTAACATATTTATTATAGAATTATGCTGCAGGATGAGCAGTTTTACAACCCTACTTAATTAATGTTTTCGAAATTTCGACTGACGTTTCATGAGTTATCCCATCTACTGTATGCATTAGATATAAATTGAGAGACGAGTTAACCCAAATTTCACAACGTCCTTGTGGATCGGGAGCAGGTTCTGGCTTTCGAAAGTATTTCTTTTGCTTAGCTGCAAAAACTGCCTTATGCAAAAATGACTGCTTATATTTATTAAAGTTTTCGTTGGTTTTAGACGTCCCTACAAATTCAAATATGTTTTGGGAAATACTCATGTGGTGTTTTTTTGATTGAAGTAACATGTTTGCTAAATTTTACGCTCAAAATGATGCCACCTGCCTTTAGAATACTATCTATATCCCGAGTAGTTTTGAGCCTGGTCTTCCATCGTATTTGCATTTAAGCTTTTCAATCTGTAAACTGTAAATTTTCGTTCATGACATATCGTACTATTCCATGTAATTTAATAAGGCAACACAGGTCTCAGGAAACGCTCAAATGGATACCGAATATCTTGTTTATTAAACAGGCAGCTATGATAAATGGGCACATACGACATTTTATGAATGGACACTTGTAGATTCCTGAAAACGTTTATATTGCGAAAACTTTAAAAAAGCGAATATATCCTATTTTAAAGCATATACGTTTAAGTGCATATAATGTTTCACCATCTGGGCATATAGAATTGCTTTTATGTATTTTCTGCGTAAAGTATCCTTAAATTCACGACGACAGCAAATATAATGAATAACATAACAAAGTCCACATGCACTGCACACATTTTCTGTATCGCATGGCATCTTGATAGCAAGAATGACTAAGTAATTTTCCACGCATGAAATTTGAGCAGCCTATAATTCGGAAACATAAAATGCAGGTGAGGCTGGTGGTAGAGATTGCACTTGTTCGGGGTTTAAAACCCTTTGAAGTGCGATCCGCATAAGGACAAACAGTTACCTGCTGTAGAGTTTCGGCCGAAAATTCTCTATCTCTATGCGCGGCCTCACGAGAACAGCAGGCGCAGGAGACGCAGATTCCACCAATAAGGACAAATAATACACCAAAGCACAACAATGCCACTCCGGCAACGTACAACCTACAAGGATTTGGAAATGCATAAACACATGTGGTACTACAAATAAGACATGACGGTTTAGCATCTTAAATGTGTTCAGAATTTCACCCTTTCTTCCATTCATCGCACACAGTACCCGAAGAGTTATACGCCAGTCCGACCTAACTGTGAGAAAGAACTAAGGATTATGAAGGTCCTCTGAAGTTCTTCGTCATCAGCCCACGATGACAAGGCCTAGACGACTAGCCAACACTGAGGCTTGGCCGTTGTATGGCATTGTTGTGCCAAGGAGTATTCGGTGCTCTCTGGAGTCTGGATGAACTAGCTAGGCTGCTGCCGAATAAGCGCATGGTTGGAATTAAGACCGCCGGCGTGTAGTCCTGGGGTTATAATATCTCTGTCGTATGACGACAGATAAGTCATGAAAAGGACATTCGCATCCTCACTGTCTTGTCAATGAAGACGTGTCGACTGATAATTTGCAGTTGCCCTGCAACTACCTTTTTGAGATGTGGGCCTCTGCGTCGAGGCAGCGTGGTTTTCATCTCCAGCTTGGAACACGCAACTTAATCATGTGACTAGAGATCACCGCCGTCAGTGGACCTAACGAAACCCGATTATGCAGTGATGAGCACGTTGCTTGGGGCTCCTTTTCTGGGAGTTCGCGTGTGTGCTCCACAACTTTGAGTTGCATTCTGACTGGCTGATCAAGGCAAATAGGCGGGAAATGCCCATCTCTCTGCTCCTTTTTTTAATCCTGAGGCCATCATGTCGGTTCAGGGCTCTCGCGATGACACTGCCTACAATACGTATAGCTCAATATTTATAAGAGGAGCATCGGCATAGAAAAGAGAGTCTGAGGTTGAGCTTTTTCAATTTTGTTAGTCTTCAATAGTCAGTCTTACCAACCGCTAGTCTGCAGGGGCTGGGATTTGAGCCCAGCATCCCTGGTCGCCTATCCTTTTTAAGTTAAACTCGCTGCAGTTTAGTCAGAAATCTGCCGTCGTACTGGCTGCAATGGCACTGAGATCCCGGATCATACAAAACCTGGAATCGGTTATAGGTCTCCAACGAATCAGAAATCGTTAGTCCCGTCTGCCCTGTCGTTTTTGGCTTCTCTTTAATCATATATTTGCGGTTCCTGTGCGACTGCCGGTTTGGGCTACCGACTGAGCCCCAGGGCGCAACGGTGAAATAGTATGTTCCGTAAAATGACCGACAAATACATTGTCAATGTAATCCTTCATGGAAAATGCGCAGTTACTTTTTCTAGCTGCTTCCCCAATTCCTCGCAATCATGTCGGCCATATGTCGACCCTAATTCGAACAGGGGTTTGTAAACAAATTCTATCTTTTGGGGTTTAAAATTTCAAACCCTCCTAAATTGAAGTTCACAAAATTCCAGCTTTTAACGGAACAGTTGCTCGTGCTGTTATGTTCTGAGGTTCGCTCCGGACCTCACACAGGCAGTCGCGTGTAGACTACTAGTACATGTTGGTGTGTATTGTACAGAACAAAATAGGAGACTTCGAGATGAGCATTTCTGACGTATTCAGTCAGTCAGCCCTACCCAATCACAGGTTTGGGGGCACCTGAATTTCAAACCGTAGTCACTTCGCCTGATCGCAGCCAACAGGACAACCGTCTTGTAAATAAGTGGTTGGACCGTCAGAATTATTAGCGCTTAATAACCAAAGACCCTATGTTACGATTTTAATGCTCCCAAACCCAATGTAGGTTAAGGCTGGCTGACGATGGCTATTAGGCCTGAAATGGCCATTCCCGTCTCCTACGTCCTTCTCGGTACCAACCTATCTGCACTATCTTTTGCTTTTTAAATCGGTTTTTACACTGTGCCTAGGAACTTTTAACAAGGTTTCGTTGTTTCTGCGCATGATACATTATGTGTCAGTACCTCGCGTTAATGCAAAAGAGTACTCACACTCCATCGTCGTTGCCCCAGTCGTCTTTGTCATCGTGGTCAAAGTGATCGCCAAAGTCGTAATCCATGTCCCAATTTGGGTAGGATGGTAAACTGGGTTTGGAAACGTGTTGATAAAATTTTTCTTTGTATTTGTCAACCAGGATGCTGCCCGCAATGATGAACGCAACTCCGAAGACCAAGAAAAAGGCAGCCGTGACATTACAGCACAGGTAATGTGCTCTGGCACACGTATGGACCCGGCTTCGGGTGTTTTGAACGAACGCCATTATCTATACTAAAAGAGCAAGGCATAAACTAGGGTTCACTCAAGGTTTTGAGGCTGTTGTCGGTTATAACCAATTCAACCTCAGCCAATTATAAATGAACGTATACAACAGAACAATCTAAACAAAAATAATGTTAAACATTAAGGTGGTTTTTACGGAACAAGGTAACGCTCTATGGAGGTCAAATGAGAAAAATTTAAAAAAAAAGAATTTATATGGCGCTATTTTTATCCGGGCACACGATTTCATTATGTATCACCTATTCTCCTGTTTTTCGATGTGGTCTTGAAATCGCACTTTACTAGAATGCCTCGGCGCAAATTAATAGTGTCATTATGTATGTGTACATGGTTGTGTTTGTGGCGAGATTACTATTTGCACTTTATCCACCAAGCACCAGAAATTAAAATTAATATTATTCTATGTGCAAGCAGACTGAATTTTGTCGTATTAAATTAAATGGGCATGTTTGGGCTAACGGTGCTTAAGGAAAAATTACTCCGAATGCGCATAATAAATAGTGCACTCATAAAAACGGTAGGAATCAAAGATATGGCACAAAATTGTCCACTAAAGGAGTCTCAAAAAGACAACATTATTACGTTAAACGACTGCCTTAGTTTGCAGTCTGTAGAAAAAGAGTTGTTTAAATTACATCAGATTGAGTAGTTTTATGGATCTTTTAAGCTGACATTCAAGTGAACAAGTGTACCGATGTAGACGGCGAACCTTGTACGACTGCTGCTAATATCTGGTTTCTAAAATGAAAAAGAGTTCGTCATTAGAATACTAAAACATCTACCTCACCAAACGAAAGCACAACGTTCGTTAGAAACAGCCGTCCTATATTTTACTAATTAACATTCGTTCTCCAACTCTTTTATAAAGAGAAAATTTAAGTAAATTGTATAATATTTGTATTGAACCGGCTGGTACACATTAACTTATCTCCGCTGTATTGATACTAATTGCTATACATGAAGGGATTTTGTATATTCTTTTATAATATTTTTTTTGTAAAATGTGACTTCATTTTTCAGGTTAGGGTAATTTTGGCATATGCACATCCGCTGATTGAATGAAAGTAATTGAATGTAAATGAAATGTCTAATTTCAAGTAAAGAAGACATAAATTTCCAAAGAACAACATGTCTATTTGCGCAAAGTAGACAAAACGTAGGACAAGCAGGTGATAGAAATAAGCACATCTAAAACAAACTTAAGGGATCGGAAATCAGACCTATTAAGATCATCTTACCAATATGCAGCCGGACACTCAAGCAAACAGAATTAAGTTTAGTTCTATCAATACTGATTTCAAGCAAACAATTGTAGCGCACTCAATTATAAACATAAGAAGGCATAATTTTCTAAGAAACAACAGGTCTATTTGCGTACTGTACGCAAAAGGTGATCTAAATAGGCACATCTTAGAGAATTACCTGTCGAGTCTACCGCTGCCGTCAGCACATTCGGCACGCAAATATATGAGTCAGAAGAGATTGAAGGTTTTCGTGGAACACCCAGCCTTCTTGGCTTTCTTTTCATTAGCTAGTCGCAGTCGTCTGTCAAATCATTGGTTCACACGTATTTAGCGAATTGCTGTTTTAAAGCCTTGCGTTCTTCCGAGAAAAAACTTCCTTTATGTTTTTACGCATTAACTAATGCCACGCTTATTTTAAGCGCTGCAAATGAAGCCATTAAAGCAATTAATAAAAAATATAAGGTTTTTGGATGAACTTCTTTGGCTTATGAGCAGGCTTTTTGTCTACAATCCACGTTTACCCACGCTATAATATCCAACGCTGCTAGCATCTTATGAATACTTTAATCCAAGTTCGCCGGGCAATGTATCTATGAAAGATGACTCAGACGTTGCTCTAACCACATCACCGATGTAGGAAATTTGTCCCGTTTGATGTCGCACACCTTGACTGAAACAGTTTTTTTAACAATTCACAAACAGCAATTAAGAAGTGGCAACATTAATACTCATGTAGACTTTTACTTCCATGCCCAACAAACCGGATGGTAATCCATGTGTGTGATATTTCGTCAGCATGGGAGTTCTTTTTGTACCGGCATGTAAGGCTGTCCAGTCGTGAATCGAAAAAAGGTTAAAATTTTCAATTGAAAACACTGGCAACAGGTGGCAAAGAGGGGAATTTTAAAATTTCACGATTTGGCCAGTACATTCAAGAACAAAATGCTTCCCTCCTTCCAGTGAATCGCTGTGTTTGTGTGAAAATATCAGTAAAATGGAATGTGTGCATATTAGGCATAAAATAAAGCCAGATTTTTGCTAATATTGGCAGTCAAGCAGGACACATGCACTTATTGATCAACTTCAATTCATTTTGGTTTATATTTCCCAAGACTCCTAGCGTAGGAATTCTATTAAAAAATTACAAAAGTTCTATTAAAATAGACGTCGTAGAAACAGTCTCAGGTTTGACTAAAAATTGCCCGTCTGAGAGGCCCTACTGTCATATCGTTCGTGCCTTACTTCAATCGTACGTGAAAAACAATCAACACCAATGCTCATATTATATGGGAGACCGATATTGCGTATTTTCATCGCTTTCCGTTGCGCAACAGTCAAAAAATATTTTCTGAATTCGCGGCGTTCAACTGTTCGATTTAAGCCCAAAGGCGGAACTGAAAAACTTTTGCAAAATTATGTGTGCCAAATAAGGTTGAAAACAATGCTGGGGTCTATTCGTATGGCCAGTTTTGACAAGCCGACCGCTTTAATGGATTTTTTTGGCAGATTTTGAACATTTCATATTGACTCCACGGTGATAACTGGGCGTCCTGGTGAGATTTAAATCCCTGACGGCAAAGAAAAGGCGTTAATACAGTCAACGCTCTAGCCACTTGAGCATCTAGGTCAAAATATCCACTAATTACGCAAGTCTGACAGATAATCTGGCGGATTATAGGTAAATTACCTGAGAAATCCTGCTTGAGCAGACAACTTATTGTATCAGATTTGGTGGATTTCGGACGTTGCTGTACATTGGACAAGTAAGCTGACTACCGTTTTCTGGTGGGGTCTCGTAGCTCAGGCCTTCCTCTTGCTGTCTTGGGTTTGGATTCTATCAAGACGTCGAGAAGTTTACAACTGGGTCAATAAAAATTCGATCTCACAAATGACCGGGCAGACGGATGCCCCAATCTCTCATGTTGTGCAGAATTCGCATCGTTTAGTTTGCTTGCATAAGCAAATATCTGTCATAAGGAGAGTCCTCACAAAAAATTGACAACGTTTGGGTTTGACGCAGGGCTACTTGTTCGCAGCACCGTTCCCTCTTTCCCACCCCTCAAATAAAACACTTTTAACTCCGTGGTTTTCTCTTCTTGTTTTATTAACATATGGGGGGCTAGCGTATGCTTCCATTTTTCGTCAGCATTTCAAGCGCAATTCTTAGTTTATGTAGAGGGACACTTGTAAGTCCTGTAAGAGTCAACTCTATTTAGGTTGATTAAAAACGACTGTTAAGCATCTGTAGCTGAAAGGAGTCATTAAACGGGAAATTATCTAAAACGCTTTGATTTTATGGCAGTCAAATAAGAGCTGAGCGTTGTTCTCCTGTCCTACCCATCAGCCGCATTTATTGCTAAATTACCAGAGCTTGTCAAAAATGCGCATATGTGCTACGTGTTGACATCCATTAGTTTATATGCTCGTCTACAAGAAAAATCTATTAGAATTAGTAGCCTCTTAAAAATCGTACTAATTTCTGTATCAAACTTCGTAAGCGGTTTATCTCGGTACATTTACATTTAATGTTATACAATTATTAAATTATCTGAAATTCTGATGGCAGTATGCTTAACACTGATTTTTCCCTTTTTAAAGGTATATAACTTCATGAATCAGAAATGAAAAACATTGCAATAACTGCACCGAAAGTTGGGTTTTCTCCCCAACTTATATTAACATACATACAGTCGCCATTGAATAAGTCGAGTTTAAGCTACTTTACCACAGAAACAGCTCTAACAAACAACGGAAGCATTCGAACTGAAATTGAGGCTGATCAATTTCGGCAACGATCGCATTTTTTCTGAGACAGTAATAACTGCAGAACTAAATGCTTAAGCTTGCTTTACGCCAAACATGAATAGCAGAAGCGGTTCAAAGCCACCTAATGTAACAACTTTTGAGGGATCGATAGGCTAGTCAAACGTAAGATCGAGAACTGCAGCTAAAAATAATATCATGTTGTCAACCAATTTGCGTGGGTGCGCCCTTTGGATGAGACGAGTCTTGCTGTACTCTAAGCAGCTCTTGTAAAAATATTTTACGTGGGTGTTTGACAAAGGCCTTCCAGCATGTCGTGTATAATTTGAAGCATTCGATGTGATTGCTGTAGGGATTCCATTTGACGATACATTCGCTTATGCATAAATTTAAATTATACTTGGGAGACCAAAATATTTGATCTACTCTGGCAGTCGTGTGGTCTATTTTGCACGGGACGATCGAAGTCGGACATGCGAATAGAGAAGACCACAAATTAGTAGACTGAAACCCACAGGATGCTTTTCAGTCTGAGCGGCATAATTCAAACACGAAAGTGGCGCTCTTATAGGTAATTTTCCTGTCCTGACCATCGCTGTAATGTTCGGACTTAGAAGACCTCTGTCGTAGAGCTTGAATGTGTATTAGACTGCTAATTTTTTTTAAGTTTCTTTTTACATGATGTGTCTTTTATTTTGTTTAAATGAATGCAGTTGAGTACTTTTTCTTTAACATATATTGACGTTATGATGGCCCATTGCGACTTTTCAGT